TGTCTTTTTGAGACAGTGTCTCCCTGTAGCCCCAGCTGTCCTGGAACTCACTATGTAGACCAGGCTGGCCTTGAACTCACAAAGATCTGCCTGCCTCTGCCTCCCAAGGGCTGGGATTAAAGGCGTGGCCACCACGCCCCGGAGCTTGTTTTGTTTTTATTCTTTTGGAACAGTCCTGTTATGTAAGCTTGTCTTAGCCTACACAGCCTCGAGAATGAGTCTTATGTAGTTCAGACTTGCCTTGAACTTCTGATCTCCTGCCTCTGCCTCCCGAGTGATGGGATTATAGGCTTGGGCTGCCATGACCTGCTTTATATTTTCGGTTTTTAAAATATATTTATTGATGATTTCTCCTAGGATCCCACGTGCTTCCTCTTCCTGTAAGCTGCCTGAGGTGACCTATGAAAATGGTTGGTTACTCTCTTGACCCAGAAAACCCTACAAAATCATGCAAATCAAGAGGTTCCAACCTTTGTGTTCACTTTAAGAACACACGTGAAACTGCCCAGGCCATCAAGGCTGTGCATATCTATATATTTATTGATGATTTCTCCTAGGATCCCACGTGCTTCCTCTTCCTGTAAGCTGCCTGAGGTGACCTATGAAAATGGTTGGTTACTCTCTTGACCCAGAAAACCCTACAAAATCATGCAAATCAAGAGGTTCCAACCTTTGTGTTCACTTTAAGAACACACGTGAAACTGCCCAGGCCATCAAGGCTGTGCATATCTGAAAAGCCACCAAGTATCTGAAAGAAGTCACTTTAAATAAGCAGTGTGTGCCATTCCGGCATTACAATGGTGGAGCTGGTAGGTGTGCCCAGGCCAAACAGTGGGGCTGGACACAAGGTCGGAGGCCCAAAAGAGTGCTGAATTTTTGCTGCACATGCTTAAAAATGCAGAGAGTAATGCTGAACTTAAGGGTTTAGATGGAGACACTCTGGTAAAAAATTAGCCAAAAAAAAAACACAAAAAAAAAAAAAAAAAAAAAAAAAAAACAAAAAAAAAAAACAAAAAACCAAAACATATATATATTTTTTTTTTTAAATTATTTTTCATAGTTGCCAGGTGGGTGCTGGGAATCTGCACCATGTGGGTGCAGAGCTCTTAACTGCTGAGCCATCTCTCCAGCCCCTATTTATTATTTTTATGTGTATGCATATATTGCCTGCATGTAGGTAAGTGCACTTATGTCGTGCAATACTAGAGGACAGAAGAGGCTGTCTCATACCCTGGAACTGAAGTTACAGACAGTTGTTAGCTGCCATGTTGGTGCTGGGATTTGAACCCGGGTCTTCTGCAAGAACAAGCCAGTGTTCTTAACTGCTGAGCCATCTCTCCATCCCCTATATTTTAGTTTTTCAAAGTTTTTCAAAGTATTTCCAAAAGGAGTAAACCAAAGAAATAAAATTTTCTTGACTTTTTTCCCAATAAGCTCAGAATTAGATGAGCAACTAGAAAAAAAAAATAATCTAGGCTGAATATAGTGGTGTAGGCTATAATCCTAGTACTCTGGATGCTGAAACAGGATCACCAGTTCAAGGCTAGCCTGGGCGCCATAGTGAGACCCTGAGAGACCAGGGGCTGGAGAGCTGGGTCAGCAGTTAAGAGCATTTACTGCTCTTGCAGAGGACCAAAGTCTGGTTCCCAACATCCATGTTGGGTGCTCACAACTGCCTGTAACTCTAGCTCTAGGGGTTATGACACCCTCTTCTAGCCTCTAATGGGCACATACACATAAATAAAAGACAAATTTGGGGGCTGGAGAGATAGCTCAGCAGTTAAGAACACTGGCTGCTCTTGCAGAAGACCTGGGTTCGATTCCCAGTACCAACATGATTGCTAACAAATGTCTGTAACTCCAGTTCCTGGGAAATCTGACACCCTGTTCTGACCTCTGCGGGCACTGTACAACAGAGGTACTGCCTGTATGTGTGTGAAGACCAGAGCCCACATGAATGCTGAGTGGGCATGGAAACCTACCTGCAATTCCAGCCTAAGAAGGAGAAACGGGATCCCTAAAGTCAGCTGGTTAGTGAGACTAATCACACTGGTGAATTCTGCGTTTAACTGAGATCCTGCCTCAAGGTAGACTAGATAGAGGCTAATTGCCAAAATCAACCTTGGGCCTCCAAATGAATATGGATCCACATTCATGTGCGACCTCTCACACATATGCAAAACATGAATACACGCTTGTACACACCACATACACACATACACAAAAATGGGAAAAAACTGAAATAGTAATAAAGGGGGCTGGAGAGATGGCTCAGAGGTTAAGAACACTGGCTGCTCTTGCAGAGGACCTGGGTTTGATTCTCAGCACCCACGAACATGGCAGCTAACAACCATCAGTAACTCCACTTCCAAGGAATTCAACACCCTCTTCTGACCTCCACAGGTACTGCATGCATGTGGTACACTTACACGCAGGTAAAACTCTCAAACACATAAAAATAAAATACTTAAAAATGGTAATAAATAGCTGGGCGTGAAGGTGCAGGCCTTTAATCCCAGCACTGGCAGAGGCAGGTGGATCTCTGTGAGTTCAAGGCCAGCCTGGTCTACATAGTGAGTTCCAGGACAGCTGAGGCTACAGGGAGAGAGTCTCAAAAAAAAAAACAACAAAAAAAACAAAAAAAAAAAAAACGGAAAAAAAACAAAAAGGTAATAAATAAAATCTAAAGATTGGCAAAGAGTACACAAGTAGGAAGAGGATTTAAAGGCAGAACTGCAATCCAGTGCATCAGTTCAGACAGCATTCTGTGTGCAAAAAAACACACAAAAGGGTGCCTGCTGCCAAACCTGATGACCTGAGTTCGATCCTAGAACCTACATGGGAGGAGACTGACTCCCACATCCTACAGGTTGTCCTCAGACCTCCACATGTGTTGTGGCATGTGCCCCCCACTCCCATTCGTACACACATAACAAATAATTTTTTTTGGAAAGAAACTGCTAGGTAAGCGAGAGTAGTGATGCATGGGTGCTCAAGCAAACTCAGCTAGACCTTAGGTTTCCCTTCCCCTTTGGTCTTACCTACTTTATATGCTCTAGATATTAGCGTATATATCACGACTTATTTTAGCTTTTTGAGGGTCTCATCTTGTAGTCTAGGCTGGCCCTGAACTTGTGGCAATCCTCCTGCCTCAGTCTCCTAAGTGCTAAGAAAGACATTCTTTGTGAAGACAACTTCTTGACAAGGATTTGGCTATTTTTTTAATGAATGATTAAATCAAAGCCATGAATATGTGATGGTATGAAATTCATGCAGTGCCCACAGATGTCAGAAGATGTTGGATCCCCTGGAATTGGAGTTACAGATAGTTGTTAGCCATCATGTGGGTGCTGGGATTCGAATCCAGGTCCTCAGCAGCCAGCGCTCTTAACCACTGAGGCCATCCCTCCAGCCCCATGGTGTAAAATTCTTAATGTGTCTGCTGTCTGTATATCCTTTTAAATCCTCTCATGTCTTGATGTGGTTCTTTTAACAGTCACTAGGTATGACATTTAACACTGAGATTGTAATTTTTCAAGGGGAGAAATTCTTTTTAAAAATGTTTTAATTGAATTTTTGTTTATTTCATACATAAAATCATCTTTATGCCCCCTTCCCCTTTGGCACCCTCCCATAGCTCCACCACTGAAGTTCGTACATTTTTTTTTCCTTTTTTTTTGGTCTTTTTGAAACAGGGTCTCCCTATAGCCCCAGCTGGCCTAGAACTCACTATGTAGACCAGGCTGGCCTTGAACTCAAGGAGATCCTCTTGCCTGCCTCTGCCTCCCAAGTGCTGGGACTAAAGGTGTGCACCACCACGTGTGGCTCACATTCTGTCATTTGTATTAAGGCCTATAATGTAAAGTTAGTGTCCCGAGATATCCCTCAGTACAAAGTTCATCCACTGGGGTTTAGTCAGCCTATCTAGAGTCTCTTTCTTCAAGAAGGTCAGCTCTTCCTCACCCAGCAGTAATCAGCTGCCAACGATTCTTCGACTAAGATTGGGGCTTGCTATTCATTTTCACAGTTCTGCATTGGGTTTTTGTCTGCTTAAGTTTGCCTGGGTCTTCTGCATGCTAACACCACTGCTATAGGTTCATATGAGAAGGGTCCCAGGCACGTGTAGGACTATTTCTGTATGGTAATGCACCTCCTCCCTGGCTCTTACAACACCCCCCCTCCAACTTCCACAATGGTCCCAAGAGCACTGGGTGGGTAGACCTCAATATAGAAGTCCTGTCCAAGGACCCACACTCTGCCGACTCTTATTCTCTGTTTTGGCCATTTGTGTCCTTTTGTGTTCCTAGCCCTCTATGCATGAGGGAGCGTCACTGAGGAGAACTGAAAGGTGCATTAGTGTTCTCTTCATCCCTTGTTCTATGTTCCATGAGTCTTAGGTGTAGAGGCTGCATCTTAGATGTCCACTTAGGCTTGGGCAATTCACAGAGAATCTCTGTGTGTGACCAGTGGTGTAACTCTGTAATCATCTCTGTCTGTTGAAAAAGAAGCTACTCTGATGGGTAGTGACTGGGATACTTGTCTGTAAAGGGGGGGGGAGAAATTCTTTAACAGTCAAAATTGAGCTCTTGGTAGCAACCTGGGAACTCGGGACTGGGTGATGAACAAGGGAAAAGGGAAGGAATTATGTCACTCTCTACCTCTAACTGCTTTGAGGCCTGCAGCTCTGGCTGCCTGAGGCAGCAACTCCAACTTGGGGTACCTTAGTAACTTTCTTCATCTCTCTCTTTTAAAAAGATTACTGCCGGGCGTGGTGGCGCACGCCTTTAATCCCAGAACTTGGGAGGCAGAGGCAGGTGGATCTCTGAGTTCAAGGCCAGCCTGGTCTACATAGTGAGTTCCAGGACCCCCAGCTGTTCCTCTACAGGAGACCCTGTCTCAAAAAGACCTAAATAAATAAATAAAGATTACTATTTATTTTTATTTTATGTGTGTCTTTTTCCTGCATAGATGTAAATGCACCCCAGAGGAAGGCACTAGATCCCCTGGAACTGGAGTTATGAACAGTTGTTGGCTGCCACATGGTGTTGGGAACTAAACCCAGGTCCCCTCCAAGAGCAACCAGTGCTCTTAACCACTAAGCCATCTCTTCAGCCCCATTTTATTTTTAATTATGCACATGTGTGCCTGTGCATGGGTATGTGCCTGTGAGTACATGTGCCCAAGGAGGCCATAGGCAACAGATCCCCTAGGAACTGGAGTTACAGGTGGTTATGAGCCACCCAACATAGGTGTTGAGACCAGAACTGGGATCCTCTGCTAGAGTAATATGAGCTTTTAACCACTGAGCCATCTCTCTAGCTCCCCCTTTTAAGCTTTATTTGTATGTGTGTGTCTACTTAGGTCTTCAGGCTTCACAGCAAGCAAGTTCATCCACTGAATCATCTTGAAAACCTAACAACCCAGCACATAGCTTTTTTTTTCTTTTTTGGTCTTTTTATGTGACAGGTTCTCTCTGTAGCGTCAGCGGGCCTGGAACTCAGTCTGTAGACCAGGCTGACTTCAAGCTCACAGAGATCCATAGGCCTCTGCCTCCCAAGGGATTAAAGGCATGCCAGCAAGCTTCTTAAATTATGGGTTAACAGGTCATATAATATACAGGGTTGTTAAAAATTTAGGAACAAAAGGTTTCTGAACACAGAATCAAAAATTAGTTAAGGAATTAAACCTGTAACAAATTCAAGATGCTTCTGGCAGTGCCTGCCTGTTGGCCTCACTGCAGCCTTGGGTCTGAACACAGAACATGTATACTTTACACTGTGTAAGCCATGCAGTACCAACAAACACTACTTCAAATACTTCAGCTCAGGTCTGAGGCCACTGTAGGTAATCAACTGCAGTGTTTTTACTGTGCACTCTTAAGTTTTCTGCTCTTATGGAAACAATGTTTTAGATAGAGAAAATAGTTTGGGGGCTGAAAAGATGATTCAGTGGTTAAGAGCACTGGCTGCTCTCACAGAGGACCAGGGTTCAATTCCCAGCACCCATAAGTGGCTAACAATCATCAACTCCAGTTCCAGGGTATCTGACACCCTCTTCTGACCTCCATAGGCTTTGTAGGACATGGGTGCACTTACATACATGCAGGCAATACACTTATACACATAATATTAAAAAAAAAGCACATTCATGTACATAACTGCACCAGGTGTGTGTAATGTAAAGCCAGAAGAGGACTCTCTCCAGCCCCTCCAAAGAATTTTTAAAAAATAAATTTATTCTTAAATTCTTTGGAGGGGCTGGAGAGATGGCTCAGCAGTTAAGAACACTGGTTGTTCTTGCAAAAGACCCAGGTTCGAATCCCAGCACCCACATGGCAGCTAACAACTGTCCATAACTCCAGTTCCAGGGGATCTGACAGCCTCTCTGATCTCTGAGGGCACACCACCACAAGGGTGCACTCACCTACATGCAAGCAATACATGCATACACATAAAAAAAAAGTTTAAAAAAAAGTTTTGTTAAAAAATAAATTCTTTTATGGCTTATCAGTGAATGATTTTTTTTTTTTTTTTTTTGGTCTTTTTGAGACAGAGTCTCCCTGTAGTCCCAGGTGGCCTGGAAGAATGTTTGATTTTTTATACATATTTTATATATCTATATACATACTGTATGTAACTATATATCTGAAATCTCATAAATTTCCCAGGCCAAAAAAAAAAAAAAAGGGTGGAAAAGTTTAAGAAGTCCTGATCTGGTATACAACATTCAGCATGCCTATAATCCAAAAGTCTCTCAAATTCAAGGACAGCCTGGGCTATACAGGGTGCTTCAGGCCAGCCTGGACTACAGGGCAAGAAGACCGACACAGAAAGGAAGAGGGAGGACAGATTGAGACAGCACAGTGGTTGGGTGCCCACCTTAAGGGATCAAGCGGCTAGGAGGAGCCTTAATGCAACCCAGTGTTGCAACAAAAAACAAGACAGGCAGGGTCTGACCTCGCTTTACTGAAGTCAACTCTGTTAGGCCAATCTCAATGCACTAAACTTGCAATTCATCCAAAGCCCACACGAGTTTCCTGGACCCCCCAAAACTTAGATTGGCTGATTCCTGGTACAAAGAGGATGCTCAGTAGCACCTCTAGCCTCCTCTTGCCGGATGCCATAGTAGTACCCTCGCTGTGACTATCAGGTATGTCTCCAAGCATCATCCAAAGCGGTCCTGGCTGGGAGCACAGGTCGAGGCCCTTCCCTCTCTCGCTCCCTCTGCCTTGATGCTCCGCGCATCCTTCCAACCTCAAGTGATAACTAAAGACTTGCTCAACCGTCTTCCCTCCTCGCGGACCGCTATGAGGCCACGTTTCCCCGAACACTGGCCACGGAGTCTGGCACACAGTATGGCAACTGCTGTGGACTTAAGGAAAAAGCGAGGCAGCGACGGAGAGGCGGCAACTGGGAGGGCGTGTGGGGATACGGGCGGAATTACAGCTAGGCCGAGCACTGCGCATGCGCCCTGCTCTCCCGGGGTTCCCCCGACGAAGGTAGGTGTCCAGTGTCCGCGGCTTTCCCGTGACTACGGAACGAGGGGCGAGGACCGGCGCTCCAGCGAGAGCCTCCCCACTCCCCAAGCAAGACTTACTCGGGCCTGAGAGAGGGCGGCGAAATCTCTCACTCTCCCAGAACGCAGCCACCGAAGCACCCACCAGAGAGCTGCGAGTCCGCCCCTCAGGTCGCCAACGGCCGTTACTCCCCCTCCAAGCCGCACGCCTCCGAGCGCGCCCCGCCAGGCCCCGCCCCCTCTTCTCGACTCTGACCAATAGTAAGTCTAGAAGAGCGAAACTCCCGCCCCCTTCTGCCTGCCTTGGGCCAATGGCGAGTCGTGCCGCGCCGGCGTCCTGCCCCTGCACGCTGCGCTGGGCGCTGGGCGGATGGATCGTTCTGCGCATGACCCAGCGGCTAGACCCGCTCCTCCGCTCCTTGCCCAGTCCTGCCTGTAGGTGGCGCTGTGCTCAGCGAGGCGCGGGTGACCCACAGGCCAGGGCAGGAGGTTATCCAGCCCAACCTGCCGTCACCCTCCCTAGGTTCAGCTCCCTGTCACCCCTTCTCGCCGGAACTGGGCCAGATTGTGCGAGTGGTCTGTAGGGTTTCTGGTTATTCAGGAGTCACGATTAGATTGAATACTTAATAAAGAGGGCTTGCTGCTCTGGCAGAAGTCTCAAGTTCGATTCCAGCACCCATGTCTGACAGCTCACAACTGCCTGTAACTCCAGCCCCAAGGGATCTGAAGCCTTCTCTGCCCTCCATGGACACACACACCTAAATAAAATATTAAAAAAATTAAAAAGCAGGGCATGGTGACATGTGCCTATATGATCCCAGCATTCAGGAGGCAGAGGCAAGTAGATCTCTGTTTGAGCCTAACCTGGTCTACAAAGCGAGTTTTAGGCCAGCTCAGGCTATATAGTGAGACCTTGTTAACAACAACAAAGATTTAGTTAATGAAGAAAAAATTGATGGATAATGAGCCTGGGAATGACCTGGTAGATGAATTTAGGAGAAATTCTCTGAAATGAGGATAATGAGGCTTTGTTCATATGAAAGTTAAATTTAGATGTCTAAGCTGGACGTGGTGGTGGAGCATGCCCTTAATCCCAGCACTCCGAAGGCAGAGACAGGCAGATCTCTGTGAGATCCAGGCCAGCCTGGTGTACATAGCAAGTTCCAGCCTCAAAAGAATCAAAAGGGCCAAACAAAACAAAAACCTGGATGTCTAGAATAAATTCCTGAACCAATAGAAAGCTGAGTTTTCCTGCTGTGGCTTCTGTTTCTTTTGTGAGGAAGAAGGGAAGAAGGACATGAGGGCTGAATTGAGGAAGAAGTGGTTCTGAGAAGGCAAGAGAGACTAGATGTGTTGAGAGTTAAACTTAAAAATAGCAAAAAGTACATCTGTGATACTGGTGATCTCAAGTCAGAGGGTGGAGGCGAGAGGATTAAGAGTTTGATGCTAGCATTGGTTACATAGTGAGACCCTGTCTTAAAAAAAATATAGCCAGTTGTAGTGGTGCATGCCTTTAATCTCAGCACTCAGGAGGCAGAGGCAGGTGGATATCCATGAATTCAAGGCCAGTCTGGTCTACATAGTGAGTTTCAGGTCAGGTCAGATACAGGGACACCCTGTCTCAAAAGGACCAAAAAAAAAAAAAAAAAAGTACATTTAAGCTGGGTGTGGTGACACCCCACTTGGGCAGAAGCAGGCTGATCTCAGTGAGATCGAGGCCAGTCTGGTCTACATAGCATGTTCCAGGCCAGCTGTGGTAAAAAAGATTTGTACAGTCCTCTTCTTCAACAGGATCTTGCTAGCACAGGCTGACCTCAAACTCCTGATACTTTTGACTTGGCCTCCTAAATGGGTACATATACAGTTTTCCTCTATAATTGGGGGGGGGAGTTGTTCATTTTTGTTTTTTGAGACAGGGTCTCCTTGTAGCCCTAGATGGCCTGGAACTCAGTATGTCAGGCTAGGCTCAATCTCACCAAAGATCTGCCAGCCTCTGTCTCCCAAGAGCTGGGATTAAAGGGGTGAGCCACCATGCTTGGCTTTATAGTTTTTTGTTCGTTTTTTGTGTGTGTGTGTGTGTGTGTGTGTGTGTGTGTGTGCGCGCGCGCGCGTGCCCTCAGAGACTAGAAGAGAACATTTGGAACTGGAGTTACAGGCAATTGTAAGCCACTGTTGTGGGTACTGGAATCTGAACTCTTGCCCTTTTGATAGAGCAGCAATCACTTTTAACTGCCCCTTGTTTTGTTTTTGAAACTGGATTTCACAAAGCCTAGGTTGGCCTCAAACTTGCTATATAGTCAAGGTCGATTTTGGACTAATCTGTCTGTCTCCATCTCCCAAGTGCTGAGATCGTAGAGATTACAGTTGTGACCAAACATGCCTGGCTCAATTTCCCTCTGTAATTTAAAAGTAACTCCATTACATACTAATTTTCATATGTAGATAAGTCCTATATTTCTACTGGCTAAAGGCTCTCATTTCAAAAGCTATTCATACTTTTTAAATATGCCTTTTGATAGAGCAGCAATCATCAGTTACTTTATTATTTGTTTGTTGAGACGGGTTCTCATAATTACCAAGCTAGTCTCAAAATCACTTTGTAGTTTAGGCAATCCTTGAAGTCCTGATTATCCCTGTCTTTACTTCCCAAGTTCTAGGATTATGTTGTTATTTTTAATAAGTGCTGTATAATCAATGGAATTATATCAACCAGCATGATTAATAGTAAAAAGATTAAGCACTGGAGAGATGATAGCTCAGCAGTTAAGAGCACTGGCTGCTTTTGCAGAGGACCTGGGATCATTCCCAGCACCCATCTTACTGGCCCTATCTTTGTTTTTTGTTGCTGTTTGGTTTGATTTGGTTTTGGGTTTTTGAAACAGGGTCTCCCTTTAGCTCCAGGTGTCTTGGAACTCACTATGTAGACTAAACTGGCCTTGATCTCTCAAAGATCTGCCTGCCTCTGCCTCCCAAATGCTGGGCTTAAAGGCATGCTCCACCATACCTGGCCCTATCTTGTTTTTTGAGACAGGTTTTCACTATAGCCCAGGCTGGCCTGGGAATATTCACTATATAGCCTGAGCCTCCTGCCTCAGCCTGCAGGGCTGGGACTACAGATATGAGCCCCATATTTGGCTTCAGATCTATAAAGTTGATATGAATTCCCAGTGAAATGTTGTTTCCTGATTTAATATTTGCGACTTTGATGTCCATGAAAGAAATATTACAGAGCTGATGAGATGGCTCAGGAAGTAAAGGCAACTGGCTGCCAAGCCTGATGACATGAGTTTGATCTCCTGAGCTCACATGGCTGAAGGAGAGACCTGACTACCACAAGGTGGCCTCTGACCTCCACACACTGTGGCATTTGAGAAAGCGTGCATACACTCAAAATAAATAAAAATGTAAAAGCAAGAAGGATAGATTAGATTAATCATTTGACTTGGGTCCTTTTCAAGAGCTGTTCAAATATTAAATAAAAGAGCGGGGGGGGGGGGTGTGCAGCACTGTACAGTGCCTGCCTAGCATGTGCGAGGGAGGCCCTGGGTTTGAGTCCCGTCATGGAGGGAAAAAAAATAGCAAAATGTTCTTGCAAATTAAGGGCTAAGACTATGAAACTTGGGACTGGAGAGATGGCTCAACAGTTAAGAGCATTTACTGCTCTTCCAGAGGACCCAGATTCAGTTCCCAGCATCCATATGACAGCTAACAACCACCCTTAACTCCAGTTCCAGGGGGATCCAACACCCTCTTCTGGTCTCTGTGGGCATTGTGTGCATGTGGCACACTTATGTACATACTGATACACATAAAATAAATAAATAAATAAATAAATAAATAAATAAATAAATAAATAAATAGGTGTGCTAACACACACCTTTAATCCCAGAATTTAGAAGGCAGAGGCAGGCAGATCTCTGTGAATTCAAAGCCACCCTGGTCTACATAGCAAGTTCCAGGCCAAGAGGGCTACAGGGAGACCCTGTCTCAAAAAGCAAAACAAAAGCATGAATAAATAGATAAATCTTTTTTAAAAAACTATGAAATTTGAGGAGAATAAAAAAAAAAAGATTGCTGGGGTGGTGAGATGGCTCATCCAGTAAAGATGTTTGCTTCCAAGCCCAAAGACCTAAGTTTAATCTGTAGAACCCACGAAGTGGAGAGAGAAAACATATTCCCAACAAGCAGTCTTCTGACTTCACACAGACTTACACACACACACACACACACACACACACACACACACACACACATACAAATATATAAATGTAAAGATTTAGAAAAAAGACGACTAAATTTAACTTTTACTTTTACTGTGCTTTTTACTATTGTATAGTTATTTGCTCCAAATTAAAACATTCCCTCCTAGAGGGAAAAAAGAGGCTTCAAAGATCCAGGAAGCTAAGGAAGTTTTCAAGGCTCAGGATGCTGGACTCCCAGGCCCCTCCCTGAGGTTATAAAAGCAGTAAGCAGTGAACAGTGCTAAGGAAGAGGAGCTGTCAGTGATCTGCCTGCAAACCGGGAAATGCTGATTTTTTGTCTTCTGTGCCAAGGAATGGTTTTTTGATGATGCACCTGCCTTTGAGTGGTCCATACTCCAAGGCAACCCTCCCCCTGTCTCCCCAGTAAACTTGTTGCTTCATCAAGCTAGACTGGAGTGGAGATATATATGTGTATATATACCTATATACATATATACACGCATATATACATATATACACATATATTTGTATCTTCAGTACTTCTTGAGTTTGTTAGTGCTGGGGAAGTTTGTTTTTTGTTTTTGTTTGTTTGTTTGATTGATTGATTGATTGATTGATTGATTGGTTTATCTTTATTTTATGTGGATGACTGTTTTCCTTGGATGTCTGTGAGTGCATCCATGTTGTGCAATGCCCATAGAGGCCAGAAGAAGGAGTCCTATCCCCTGGAATTGGAGTTACTAATGTTTATAAGCTGCCATGTGGGTGTTGGGAATTGAGCTCAGATCCTCTGAAAGAACAGCCAGTACTTTTAACCACTGAACCATCTCTCTAGCCTGTTTTCTTTTTTAATTTTATCTATTTGTAGTTTATGAGTGTTTGCCTGCACATATGTTAAGTATATCACATGTATGCAATGCCCACAGAGGCCAGAAGAGGGCGTCGGATCTCCTGGAACTGGAGTTATGAATAGTTGATATCACCAGTGGGTGCTGGGAATCAAACCCCCAGGTC